ACTGCAGTGAGTACGGCCTAAAGCCCCCTAAACCCTAACCCTAACCCAAAGGAGTGGCTGCAGCCAGCACAAAAACCGGCAAATGTCACGGAAAGTTCTGAAATGTTGTCGTGATAAAAATTTGTGACATATTTTACAACGAAATGCTGAAAAGTTCCGGGCAAAAGAATGATTTTTTCTGTATGTGCTTTATGCCTTACTGAGGTTGTAGAACAGCTTCCAAAGGACTAGCTGACTTTGTTTCTCTGACTTTAAGTGTTTAAGGGGATAATTATTCACACGTTTAAACCAGAATTGTGCTTCGTTTCTAATAATATAGCAATGCTTCAAGTTGCGTTTCTCATCTAAAAGAAGAAAGGGAAAATCTACAATCTGCTTTTGTACACATTTGTCACACATATTACACATTACTTACATATTACTTTGTGAGTCGCTTTGGATAAAAGCGTCTGCTCGATGCATAAACATAAACATATTCATTTAGATTTACAGTGGCACAAGAAGAAAAGTCAGGCCTGTAAAAATATTAAAATAGAACTCAAAGATTCATGTTTGACATGACCATCGTCTGGGCTCAATCCTGTTCATGCTGAAATATGTAAAGGCTGAAGATCAGAAGAGCCAGATGTTCTTTACAGTGTGTGTGTGTGGCCTTGTATTTACACTGAATCAGCAAGCTGTGTTTATGTTCCCGTAATGTTTCCGCTCTGCGTTTAGAGACGCGCTCCACTGAGGGCAGCTGTAACCAGAATAACGGCGGCTGCTCCCAGAAGTGTCAGATGGCCCGAGGACTGGTCCAGTGCACCTGTCACACCGGCTACAGGCTGATGGACGACAGCAGAACCTGCCAGGGTAAGGCGTGTGTGCGGGGGTGAGAGTGAGTCCTCAGAGGAAGTGAGCGAGGCTGGAGGTGTTAATATTCATGACCTATGCAGAGCCCCACAGTCTGCTTTGTGTTTAACGTCCGATAGCGGCTCTGATTTCCTGAATATCACGCTAAAATGGGGCCTCTTCATGTGCCGCTAGGCCACACATTCCTGCCATTTATGAGGTTACATAGTGACTACATTTATAAACTTATGGTGGAAATGTGGAACTTCACTGATATTTAAGGCTATTGGAAATAACTGACCTAAATCGGTGAACTTTAATAGAAGTTCAGTTTTTATGAGGAGGATTTTTAACCCCTATTCCGTACCTTCTATAAATATTTACAAAACTAAAAAAGTTTTTCTGAAAATATCCTGAATAAGGTCCCATTTCCAACTCATTGTTTTCAGATCAGCGCAATTTACTTTTTAAATCGGTCCAGATTTTCGTGTGCTCACCAGACCAGAAAGCAGTTTGAATTGATAGAGGAGATAAGTGTGTGCGAGAGGCATGAATGGGTTTTCCAACACCTATCCAAACTCTGTCTTAATTCTCTGTGAACTGTTGGGCCTTGACTCCCCGGCTGCTTCCTCTGGTGGGTTCCAGACGTGGACGAGTGTGCGGAGGAGGGCTACTGCAGCCAGGGCTGCACCAACGCTGAGGGCGGCTTCCAGTGCTGGTGTGTCCAGGGCTACGAGCTCCGCCCCGACAAGCGCAGCTGCAAAGCCCTGGGTAAAAGCCGCCGTTCAGCCCTTTGTCTTCTACATGTGACCACAGAGAGTCACTAGGTTCGACCTCCAATGAGAAACCGAATGGATCCAGCGTGTTGATATCAGCTTCAGCTGGACCCAAACCTGCAGCCGCCTATCAGGGCCCAGAACTACGCCCCACGGGGATCAATGCTGGCTCATTCTAAAGGAAGGTCTGGTCTGTTTTATTCCTCCATGGTGAACCCTGTGCCCCCCCCTCAGGTCCAGAGCCGGTCCTGCTGTTCGCCAATCGCATAGACATCCGGCAGGTGTTGCCACACCGCTCCGAATACACGCTCCTGCTCAACAACCTGGAGAACGCCATCGCGCTGGACTTCCACCACAGCCGCGAGCTGGTCTTCTGGTCGGATGTGACGCTGGATCGCATCATGAGGGCCAACCTCAACGGCTCTAACGTGGAGGAGGTGGTCTCCACGGGACTGGAGAGCCCAGGTGGGTCAGCAGCTAATGCTGGACATCAGGTTCATGCATCATTTATCCACTTTGCTCTGCCTCTCTGTGAGCAATGCTGCTGAGCTGCCCCACATTCCCTCCATTCATGTATTTTTAACTATTGTGACGTTAATGCTGATGTGTCTCTGTTTTTTTCACATTTTGTCCTCTTTCTTCTTTAAACCTTACTTGGTGTGTGTATACGTTGTCATAACCATTTTCTTTGTCATAGTTTTCTTGTCACATTTTTACTTTGTGCTCATTATAATTTCTATTGCATCGGCCAGACATACAACACATGTTTTAAATAATTACATATCCAGTAATGAAGGAATGTGATTTAATCCCCAACTTTTATGGTCACACTCTCTTTTACAGAGGAAACCTTAATACATTTATCCATGTTTTCTTGAGTGTATGACAGAAATTTAGTGTGAGACAATAGACATATTTAGTCCACATGGTGAATTGATTTTAATGGTTTTTAATGTATGGTAAGTAATCATGGGAAATTCCTATATGTCCAGTCTGTTAATCATTTACTAGAACGGCTATTACAAGGGAAAAACGATAGTTTGGCAAAAACGTGGTTCAGATTGCTTGGAACTGCTATCATACAATCTCTTTTCACCAGGTGGGCTGGCTATAGACTGGATCCATGATAAGCTTTACTGGACAGACTCTGGGACGTCCCGTATCGAGGTGGCCAATCTGGATGGGACGCACCGCAAGGTGTTGCTGTGGCAGAACATGGAGAAGCCCCGAGCCATAGCGCTACATCCTATCGAGGGGTAGGAGTCCGAAAAACACACAAACACCATAAACCACCACAGATGGCTTCAGATGTACACATCTTCACACATGCAGATCCCTCTGGATGTGTCTCAGTTGTAGA